GCTTGGGGCGACTCGCCGAGCCTCTGCGTTGCGCAGGCCTGCAATGGGCGATTGCGATGGGCGATTGCAACTGACCTGCGTCGCGCGTTGGCCTCCTGGAGCTGCGCTCTCGTCTTCGAGTTTCCTCCCGGGCGCACGATGCGCGGGCGAGAGGTGGTGGTGGTTGTGGTGGTGGTGGTCGTGGTGGTCGGTGGCTGCTGCTGTTCCTCCTCCTCTTCCTCTTCTTCCTCTTCTTCCTCCTCCTCCTCCTCGTCTTCCGGGCGCGTGGCCGGGCGGGGCCGCTTCAGCTCAACGTACTTGGGGCGCCCGTCGTCATCGTCGGTGGAGCTCGCTCCTGCTGGTCGCTGGCGCTGGAAAGGTGCGATTCTTAAAACACGTCGAATTAACTCTCCTGTGCACATTTCTACCTCCAGTTAAAAATATGAAAATACTTCAATAGAATATCACTTTCAACTCACTTATTCATTCCTTCGTAACAACTCAACGCAGTGCACCTGAGAGGTGTATATATGTGCACCGCAGAGTATTTTATTGTCGAAGATACAGACGCAGATTAATGGCGATGCGCAATTGTTATTATTGTTCCTGAGTTTGCCAAAGATTGAGAAAGATTTTGGACATCACTAGCATTGCACTTTGACAGTAATATTGCAGTCGTAAAAATGTCTGCACAACATATTTCTGCATTGTTCTACAAGAAGAAAATGTCTAATATTTTGTGATGAATAAAATTATCCTTTCTTTGGATGCTTCTTCGTTTCGAAATTTCAAACTATTCACTTACACTATATTGTATATCTAGGGTGTGCCTTTTAGGTTTAGGCATTGCATTTACTACTTGTCTACTATTTCTTGAAATATGTGGATATGGAAAGTTGATGTGCCTCGCATATTCAATGTTTTTGTAATGAAGGAAAATTGGATGACATTCATTATTATCGTCAAAACTATTTGATGATTACTCATGACATTTTGTAAGTCAAAACCGCAACAGAAAATACAACAGATACGACGCGGTTTGATTTATTTTGGAGTCGTTCCTTACGGTTTTTCAGTACACTCAAAAAGGCACCAATAGGCAAAGGAATTGTTCGAAATAAAATCTCAAGAATACATTTCGCGCAAACTTGATTCGCGAACCTACGAGCTCGTTTAGGAGTGAGAAATAGATACAAATTAACATCTGGCAACATCACCTAGCCGATGTTACAATTTTGTAAAATACTTGATACCCCAAGTAATGTTGGGAAATAATTAAACGAGTTGTCATTGCCAACAATATTATTTATTAAAATAGCTGCTTTCGATGGCTTAGCCATCATCATCATCAATCATCAGTTTTATAGTACAAGAAGAGAAACAAAAAATATTAAAACATGCATATTTTTTTATTAGACAACAAAGTTATAATAAAAGGTTACTAATAATTTACAATTTTAGAAAATATATTTAACATTCTAAGAACTGAAAGAAAGAAAAAGGGGCGTGTTAAGTGATTTAATCTCGTTCTAAAGGAAAGTGAATGAAATTGAATTAGAACACGTAAAATTTGAAACAGAAAAACGTGGAAATGTAAGTTGAGCAATTCCTTACCTGCTGTGTGGAAGCCACAAAAACAACTACGTGGGGTCGGGCGAGCCAAGGGGCTTAATACCCGGCCGTGGAAGAGGGAAAGCTGCTATTTTCATAAATAATATTGTTGGAAATGACGACTCGTATAATTATTTCATTGGAAATGCCAACGAAAACTCACCACAATACCAATAATGTCGGGAAATCTTTTGTAATAAATAATGGCATGAAATTTCCTTAAATATCGACAAGAATTTAAATGAGTTTTTGTCGGAATACTTAATTGTCTCCTATACAACAATGATAACGCATCCTCCCTCCGCGGACACGCGAGTGCAACCCTCTGCTTACCTGAATGGTGGTGTAGCGCGGCCGCCCGGGAGAGACATCGTCTTCTTCCTCCTCCTCCTCCTCCTCTTCCTCCTCGTCCTCCCGCGTGGCCTCTGGCTCGTCCTTCGCCGGCGGGCGACGCGTCCGCGCGATCGTCACGTACTGCGGTCCAGGCCGAGAGCGCGGCACATTCGCCTCCTCCTCCTCCTCCTCCTCCTCTTCCTCGTCGCCGTCCGCCAGTCGGCCCTCGTCCTCCTCTTCTTCGTCGTCCACTACCACGGGCTTCTTTGGTCTGTGAGTGAATATAGTGGAAATAATTGCTTCAATAGATGATGTTTCTTTTGCCTATTTTCTTGTTGAGAACCTAAGTAAAGTTCTATATTAAGTTATTAAAGTAGTATGTAAGAACTTTTTTCAAAATATGAAAAGTTTTATGATATTTTTAAGAGAATTGCATGAGATGTCAGAACCAATAAAACTTTCCGTTTGCTACCCATATGCAGATTAAGCTCAATTTGTAAGATGTAAGTTACATAATTTAAAATTCCATAACTGTTACAATTAACACGAGAAAGTATGCACTGTTGTAGTAACGAATACCTTGAAAATATTTTGATAAATTCCACTTTTCTACTTAAAAGAATTGAAAGTTATTTTTTTGAAATTTCTTAGGAGGGATATTGGAAAGGCAATTGTCATTCAGAGAGGAGCTAAGGACGGATCTAAGAAAGGATCCAAGTATATATCTGAAGTGAGAGAGACGTACTGAAGAATCTAGTATCTAGGGATCAGACATTAAGGATAGATACAGGATTATGCGTACTTATGGACATTATGGAACGTAGGGATGGCCATAGGTATGACCGTAGGAATGAATACAGGTATAGACGTAGGAATGGACTTAGGTATGGGCATCAGGTCGTAGTATTGGGCATAGGGATGGCCATAGGCATGGAGGTAGGGAGGGATGTAGATAGAGGCTAATGGAGGTACGTAGGTATGGTCGTAAGGAAGGACCTAGGGTTGGGCGTTGAGTAAGTAAGTTCGTAGGGAGGGAAGGAGTTGTGGATGCAGGAATGGACCTATAGCGGCATCAAGGGAGCAGCGAGGACGCTCACGGTCGATCGCCGCCTCACCTGGGGCGTCGCACTTCGACGTACTGCGGCTTCTCCCAGCGCGCGCCGCGCTCGCTCTCCAGCCCGGCGTTCTGCGGGCCGGCCGGGCGGTTGCGCGCCGGGGACGAGTAGCGCGACGGCGAGGCGGTGGTGGGCGCGGGCGTGGGCGCCGCCACCACCGTCGCCCGCCCCAGCACGCGCTCGTACAGGCTTTTGCTGATGGCCGGCGCCTTGCCGTCTGCCCCCGCGCCGCCCTTGCCCGCCGCCGCAGCCGCCGACGGCGTGCTCTTGCCGCCCTTGCCGCCCGTCGAGGGCGAAGACAGACCGCGCTCTGCTAGCTGCTTCTCGAGTTGCTCCAGCCCGCCTGCGGGGAAAAGGCGACGCTTTAGGGCGGCGACTTTTAAGAAATTGAATTGGATTCATTCGAATAACATTTGACGCGACTCTTAAATCAAGAAGCTTTCTAATAATCGTTAATTCATAGTATTCATAAAATAACTCACGAGAAGTTACTAGAATATCTACGATCTCTCAGGAATATCTTCAAAAAGAATGTTTTTATGTACCCATTGAAGTAATACCACGCAAATGACTTAATGATTTTATTATCTACAGATGGCCGTAACGGGGCTGGTAGGTCCTGGCCCATACGCGGGTTGTCACACCAAGTACAGACACACAGACAGATTATCTGCAGATTCAACGCGGACTCACAATTCAACAAGTAGTCTTGTTCAGTGTTTAAATGTATTACTTTTTTCAGACATTTGACGAACGCCTTCGACGTATCTAAGGAACACTAGTTTCGCGGAGCACAGTTACCAGGAAGCGAAGTATCTTAGAAGCAAAGTTTTATAATGTAGAATATTTAGGCATTTTATATCATTCATAACCCAGCGGAAAGCTGAACCTTACCACGAATGCCCATTGTATTCACTAATTGAATCGTATCCCATCGATCTTTAAGGTTACGGATAGTCTTCAATTGAAAGCAAAAGGCTACAATATCAAGGCGAAACGTCTGAGCTAAAATATTCACTGTCGGTTCTAATATTTGTGGATTGTAATATTTATCACAAACTTAACGCTGTTTTCTTTAGGACAAAATTGTCAAATAATACAAAATGGCCAGTCTTTACATTACCACGTACTGAAGTTATGGTTTATATAGAATTTAATTGATTGTAGATGTAATGGATCGCTTAATTGTAATATCTTTACTACTTTTAGATTTTTTGAAAAAGACCCCAACTAGAGTCGAAACGTCAAATAAGCCAATTATTGCTAAAATATTTTAGTGTCTGCTTAATAAGGTCAGAAAAGTATTAGAATTAAACGAGATAACAAACGTTAATATAAATCTTAAAAATTAATTGCCGGTGCCCTCGGACGCACCGAGCTTCTTGATGAGGTTGATGAGCTCCTTGATGGCCTGCGGGTCCTCGACGCCGTCGGCGCCGTCCCCGTCCTCCTCCTCCTCGTAGTCCTCGTACTCCTCGTAGTCCTCGTCGGCGGGGGCCGGGGCGGGCGTGGTGGTGGTGGTGGTGGTGGAGGTGGTGCGGAGCGTGGGGGGCGTGGCGCGGGTGCCGACGAAGCGCGTGGTCTTGCTGGTGGCGGCGGTGACGGGCGGGCGCGTGGTGGGGCCGG